CTCACTGATATGAGGAATTCTTAATCTCAGGAAACAAACTGAGGGTTGCTGGAGTGGTAGGGGGTTGGAGGGATGGGGTGGCTGGGTGATAGACATTGGGGAGGGTATGTGCTAAGGTGAGCGCTGTGAATTGTGTAAGACTTTGAATCACAGACCTGTATCTCTGAAACAAATTATACATTATATGTTAAAAAAAAGAAAAAGAAGAAGATAGCAGGAAGGGAAGAATGAAGAGGGGAAAATCAGAGGGTGAGACAAACCATGAGAGACTATTTACTCTGAGAAACAAAATGAGAGTTCTAGAGGGGAAGGGTGTGGGGGGATGGGTTAGCCTGGTGATGGGTATTAAAGAGGGCACGTTCTACATGGAGCACTGGGTGTTATGCACAAACAACGAATCATGGAAGAGTACATCAAAAACTAATGATGTAATGTATGGTGATTAATATAACATAATAAAAAAAAGTCTTAAAAAATAAAAAAAAGAAAAGGTTTAAAATGTATGATTTTGTGTTCAATATTTGTGTTTGTTTTTATTAGTCTTTAATTTATATTCATTTATTCAACAAAATATAAACTAATTAATTAACTAAATGGTGCCTGTGTTCTATGCAGAGTGGAAGCCTTAGTCCATCTAGTTTGTCTTTACTTTACCAAGACTTCAGGAAAGGCTAAAAATGAGGGAAACAAGGCAATAAATGGATCCTTAAATATATCTCCTATGAATTCAGTATTCCGTATTAGGAAAACATTTATTCAATGTAAAAGAGATTTTAAAACTCTGTAAAATATAGAACTTAAATCTTACCTGAATATCTGAAGGATGAGAATTCACAGATCCTTGATTATACAAATAAACCATAAAATTATGTGCTAAAAACAAACTGAATATAGAAAATGAGAGAATATTAAAAGTTATTCTTTTTGAAATATATAAAGCACTGCTCAGCAAACTAACACCCTCAGGCCAAATCTGACCTACTCTCTGTGTTTGTAAATAAAGCTTTATTGGAACACAGCCACACCCATTAATTTATGTATGGTCCATGGCTGTTTTCAAGCTACAACAGCAGAGTTGAGTCATTTTACCAAAGATATTATGGTCCTCAAAGCCTGAAATATTTACACTCTGGGCCTGGACCTTTATAGTAAGTCTGCAAACCCAACAAAGGTAGTATTTTCTTTTGACATATAGATAATTTATATTCAAAGAAATACACACTCAAAATAATTTTCCTATTTTAATGAACTCCTTTATTTTTTTCGTGAACTCCTTTGAAATAAGAAGGGATGGGACTACAAGATGAGAAAAAAAGACATTTTAAAATTTACAAATATATGAACTAGATGTAGAATTATGAGAGTTTTCCATTCTTTCATTCTTTCTAAATTTCACTACCATGCATATATATCACCTTTATAATGAAGTAGAAGAGTACTGTGTAAAAGTCATATTAATCTGAATGTAGATACTGAAACTACAAATCTAAGTTCAACCTTCTCTGGTATCACTGACTGTACTTATTATCCTATTTTCTCACCTCATGGTCACTCCTCAATCCAATGTAACATAACTAGATCACCCAGACTAGCTAGTTAGGAATCCTCCACTAAAAGTGATCTCATATGGGTAACTATTGACCCCCTAGTTGTCAAATCCAAAACGCAGTCTGAAGTCAAGTAAGACTACTCTGACCCACATGTACTGTTTACCACACTTCCCTTTTTTAAGCCATCTACTCTTCAACTTCAATCATACCATTTCCACCTGGCTTCCCTAATATCTTTCTGTATACTTTAAGAGTCCCTTCGTCTGGGTCCTTGCTTCTTTCCTTAAGGGTTTCCATGGCATTCAATTCTGGGTTGTTTTTCCTTCTCACCTTTGATATTCACTCCTACCTCTACAGATTTATCTTGTTCATTTCTGGTGCTTCATTTATACCTACAAAAATAGATGGCTTTGAAATCCACACTCACATTCTAAGCCAACTGGACATTTCTCTTGGGATATCCTACAAGCATTTCATATCTAACTTTTTCAAAACTGAGCCCATAATTCCCCTGACTCAGATCTGTTCCCCTTCTCCTTCACTGCCACACCAAATCTCTGCTACCACTATAACCAATGTTAGCTAATCTTTTTCCTGCCACCTCAGTATGTATCTCAAAAAAAAAAAAAAAATCCTACCTCCTTAGTCATAGTTCTGTTTTTCATTATTTCTCATATGTTATTTGCAATAACTTCCTAATTATCACTATGCCATCATAATCATTACACAAGTAATTTCCCAAAACAATACACACACGCTTTACCCATCTCCTAAACTCTAGTCCCTATAATTCTTACCACTGTTTATAGTCCTGATAAGATGTTCAAACGCACTGTGAGTTCTCTTCACTTTCCCTCTTATATACTTGAAAAGATCTTTGAGTTGTCATTTACCGTATTCTTCTTCCCTTCTGTCTGAAGGAGTAGGTTAACTCTTCTTTTACTCAATGCTATTCTTTGGCATTTTATACAATGAATTGCTTGTTTATACATCTCTAAGAAACTTCCCTTCAACCAAAAAACTTTGTTTCTTCCTTCTTACAAAACATTTATCTGCACCTGTTTCTTCTTTTTCTGCCAAACATTTTTGAAAAAGTTATTTACAAATTACTACCTTAAGTTTCTCACAATCCACCTGTCCCTAATACCATGTAGTCTAGTTCTATAACCAAAATTTAACTGCAATTATCCTATTGAAAGTCACAAAATAATTCTAAGCCAGCTTTTCTCTACATGAGAGAAATTTCCATGGTTTCCTGGTTTCCATGAGAGAATTAAACCTTACAGAAAGTTATTTCAATTACCTTCTCAATTCCCTGAAGGAAGTACACAGCTAGTACTATTTTCCATAAACTCTCACAAGTGTATAGTCTCATTCCATATTAAATTCCTTAGTCCAGGCCTGCCTCTCTGATCAAACCCTGATACACTTACAGACTTACTTCTTATTCCAACATTCTGCCCTGATTATATAGGTCTTTCTAGTTCTGTCAACAACATAAGATCATATAGATTAATCTTCAGGAGGGAGGCCCTTATCTTTTTCCTGTTCCCCCCATTCACAAAAGATTACTTGAGGCATTAGGACCAAAAATTTAATTAATTCACAGGAAAGCATCTGTTAATCTGAAACAACTCAAATGTTTAATAACAACTACATTAATTATTTTAACACTCCATTTTTATTATAAGTAAACAAATTCATATCAATAAAATGAAATACAACACTAAATGAAAAAATATTACCTTTGCTTAAGGTGTACAGTGTATGGCTTCTCATCTATTGCAATAATATAGGATATCTGTTCCTAGAGAATCCAGAACAACTGAGATGAAGAGCCATGTAACAGCAGCAAAACAATAATTTTACATCAGTCAATCCCTCCAAATAATCCCTAAAATGTCTTGATTAAAATGTCTCAGACTATACATGATTTAAAATTTGCAACAATATATCAAAAATTATAACATGTTTATTATATAATCCAGTCTTACTATTTCTATAAAAATAAGCCTAACCTAAGAATTTATATGGGGTTAGAAATCTATATATAACTATATATAACTGAATTTTAAGCTCTTCTGAAATTAGAGACCACATGCTCTGCTATAATGTCTATGTAGGTGGCATCATTGGGATAATAAGGTATCATATAACAGCAAAGCTTATTCTATCAGGCACAAAAGATATAACTGTTTTCTTAAAATGTACTGCCTGATTCCTGTATTTTTAAACAGAAGATTCTTGAACAAAATTTGGTATTGTTTTTTACTCTATCACTACTATTCTCAACTTAAAACATGGATAACAATAGGTTGCAATATCACTAAGTTGCTGAACCTGAGTGATGAGATTTTATCCAGCCAAAGAGAATATGTAAAAAGCAAGAGTTAGAGCATCACTGGAAGGAAAACTTAAGCATATAAAAACCAAAAAGACACAAATATCAGAACAAAGAAAAGGATAAGCCTTCTAGGATCTGTGACTGTCAGTCCTGCACACCCACAAAAACCCCACAAGGGGCAGCACAGAGAGAGCCTGGTAATTTGGGGTCCCTGCAACCCCAATAAACAGACTGGGACTAGATATCTGGTCTGACTACAGGCCCTGCCCACCAGTGAAAATTTCTCAGGGGACAACACAGGGAGAGCACCTGCAGTGTGCTAAGAGTGCAGTTCTGGCAAACATCTGGTCTGACTCAATTCAAGTCCAAGGCAGCCCCAGACCGGCCCCTTAACAACACAGGGACCAAACATTGCCCACAAAAGGCAAAGAGAACCACTGCAGACAATTGGACCTAAGGCAAACACCTCTCAATCACAACATTAGGATACATACAACACACACAGGTGACACCCCGGGGGCAACAGGTTCTGGTAAACAAGGAACATTGCACTTCAGAGCACGACAGCATCTCTTCTTCATAAAGCCACTACTTTCAAGAGCAGAAGCAGCTGACTTTCCTAACACATAGAAACAGACACAAAGAGTTAGACAAAATGAGAAGACAGAAGAATATGTCCCAAACGAAAACAAACAAGCAAACAAATTCACAGCAAAAGAGTTAAATGAAATGAAGATAAGCAATATGTCTGAAAGAGAATTCAGAGTAATGCTCATAAAGATACTCACTCGACTTAAGAAGATCCCCATTAGACCCTAAACAAAGAAATAGAAAATATAAAAAGAACCAATCTGGGATGAAGAACTCAATAATAGAAATTAAAAATACACTAGAGGGAATAAATAGACTAGAGGAAGGAGAAGAATAAACCAGCGAGCTACAAGACAGGGTAATGGAAAGCAACTAAGCTTAAGAGCAAAAAGTAAAAGAACAATAAAAAATGAGAATAGGTTAAGAATCTCAGCAACACCATCAAGTATAATAGCATTAGCATTATAGGAATCCCAGAAGGAGAAGAGAGAGAGAAAAAAGGACAGAAAACTTATTCAAAGAAATAACAGATGAAAAAGTTACTAATCTGGGGAAGGAAACAGAAATCCAGATCCAGGAAGCACAGAGAGCCCCCAACAAAATCAACCCAAAGGGGTCTACACCAAGACATGTAATAATTAAAATGGTACAAAGAAGTGATGAAGAGAGAATTTTAAAAGCACTAAGAGAAAAGAAAACAGTTATATACAAGGGAAATTTATCAGCAGAAATTTTGTAGGCCAAAAGGGACTGGCATGATGTATTCAAAGTATTAAAAGGAAAAAAAAAATCTGCAGCCAAGAATACTCTATCCAGCAAGGATATCATTCAGAATAGAAGGAGAGATAAAGAGTTTCCCAGGGGCGCCTGGGTGTCTCAGTGGTTAAGCATCTGCCTTCAGCTCAGGTCACGATCCCAGGGTCCTGGGATTGAGCCCCGCATTGGACTCCCTGCTCAGTGGGAAGCCTGCTTCTTCCTCTCCCACTCCCCCTGCTTGTGCTCCCTCTCTCGCTGTCTCTCTCTCTGTGTCAAATAAATAAATTTTAAAAAATCTTTAAAAAAAAAAAAAAGAGTTTCCCAGATGAACAAATGTTAAGGAATTCATCACCACTAAATCAGCCATACAAGAAATGATACAGGAAATACTTTGCGTGGAAAGGAAAGACCATAAGCAAGAGTAGGAAAAGTAGGAAAGGAAAAAATTTCACAGGTACATAAAAACATAATAAAAGTAGTAGATCGATCACTTATAAAATCAATGGAAAGGTTAAAGCACAAAAGCAGTAAAATCAGTCAGAAGATTCACAAAATTTTAAAAAAAGATTCACAAAATAAAAGGATGTAAAGTATGACACCATATACCTAAAATATGGGGGGAGGAAGTAAAAAATCAGTGCTTTCATGTGTTCAAACTTAAGCGACCATCAACTTAATGCAGAATTGCTATAAACATAGGATGTTATATATGAACCTAACGGTAACAACACGTCAAAAACTTACAATAGATATGCAAAAAATAGAAAGAAACCCAAGCATTTCACTAAAGACAGCCATCCAACAAGAGAAGAGAGCAAGAGAAGAATAGAACAGAGAACTACAAAAAAAAAACAAACCTGTAAAATAAGCAACAAATGGCATTAAGTACATAACTATAAAAATTACTTTGAATGTAAATTAACTCCAATCAAAAGACACAGGGCAACAGAATGGATAAAAAGGCAAGATCCATTTATATGCTGCCTACAAGACACTCACTTCACATGAAAAGACACATGCAGATTCAAAGTGAAGGGATGGAAAAATATTTATCACGCAAATGGAAGTGAAAAGAAAGCTAGGATAGCAATACTTATATGAGACAAAATAGATGTTAAAACAAACACTGTAACAAGAGACAAAGGACACTACATAATAATAAAGTGAACAGTCCAACAAGAAGATGTGACAATTGTAAATATTTATGTACCAAACATGGGAGCACCCAAATACATAAAGCAACTATTAACAGAAAGAAATAATACAGTAGTAGGGGACTTTAAAACCTGCATCAATTGACAGATCATCCAAACACAAAATCAACAAGGAAACAGTGGCTTTGAGTGAGACATAGGACCAGATGGAACTAACAGATATATTCAGACTATTCCATCTAAAAAAGAGAAGAATACACAATCTTTTCAAGTGCAACTGAAACATTCTCCAGAATAGATCATGTGAGGCCACAAAATAGGTCTCGACAAATTCAAAAAGACTGATATCATATCATGCATCATTTCTCACCACAATGTTATGAAACTAGAAATCAACCACAAGAAAAAATCTGGAAAGAACATAAATACATAGAGGTTAAATAACATACTACTAAGCAACGAATGGATCAACCAAGAAATCAAAGGGGAAATCAAAAAATGTATGAAGACAAATGAAAATGAAAACACAGTATTCCAAAATCTTTGGGATGCAGCAAAAACTGTTCAGAGGGAAGATTATAGCAATACAGGCCTACCTCAAGAAGCAAGAAAAGTCTCCAATAACAACCTCACCTTACACCTAAAGGAGCTAGAAAAAGAACAGTAAAAGAAGCGCCAAACCAATTGAAAGAAAAATAATAAAGATTAGAGCAGAAATAAATGAAATAGAAATTAAAAAAACAATAGAACAGATCAATGATATCAGGAGCTGGTTCTCTAAAAACATAAACAAAATTGATAAAACCTTAGCCAGAATCATCCAAAAAAAAAGAGAAGCCTCAAATAAAATCAGAATTGAAAGAGAAGAAATAACAACCAACACCAAAGAAATACAGAAAAATATTATAAAAAATTATATGCCAACAAATTGGACAACCTAGAAGAAATGGATAAATTTCTAAAAACAATCAAATAAGTAATCAAAAAACTCCAGAAAGACAAAAGTCCAGGACCAAATGGCTTCACAGGTGAATTCTACCAAAAACTTAAGAGTTAATACCTATTCTTCTCAAACAACTCCAAAAAGTAAAGAGGAAGGAAATGTTCCACATTCATTCTGAAGCCAGCATTACCCTAATAACAAAACCAGATAAAGACACTGCAAAAGAAGAAAACTAGAGGCCAATATCTCTGATGAACATACATGTAAAAATCCTCAACAAAATATTAGCAAACCAAATCCAACAATACATTAAAAAAATCACTCACTACAATCAAGTGGAATTTATTCCTGGGATGCAAGGGTGGTTCAATATTCTAAATCCATCAACATGATACATCACATTAAAAACAGAAAGGATAAATACTATATTATCATTTAAATCAATGCCCAAAAGGCATTTGACAAAGTACAACATTCATTCATTCAAAGTACAACAAAGTAGGTTTACAGGTTATTATTACAACATAATAAAGGACATATATAAAAAATCCACAGCTAACATCACACTCAATGGTGAAAAACTGACAGCCTTTCCCGTAAGGTCAGGAACAAGACCAGGAGGTACACTCTTACCCCTTTTATTCAACATAGTACTGGAGGTCCTAGCCAGAGCAATCAGACAAGAAAAAGGAGTAAAAGGCATCAAAATTGGTAAGGAAGAAGTAAAACCTAATTTGCAGATGGCATGATACTATATAGAGAAAACCCTAAAGACTCCACCAAAAAACTACTAGAACAGATAAATGAATTCAGCAGAGCTGCAGGATACAAAATCAATGTACAGAAACCTGTTGCATTTCTATACACTAATAATGAAGTAGCAGAAAGAGCAATTAAGAAAACAATCCCATTTATAATTACACCAAAAATGATAAGATATTTAGGAATAAACTTAACCAAGGAGGTGAAAGACCTGTACTCTCAAAACTATAAAACACTGATGAAAAAAACTGAAGATAACACAGACAAATGGAATAATATTCCATGCACATGGATTGGGAGAATTAATATTGTTAAAATGTCTCTACTATCCAAAGCAATCTAGAGATTTAATGCAATACCATCATTTTTCATAGAACTAGAACAAATAATCCTAAAATTTGTATGGAACCACAAAAGACTGAATAACCAAAGCAATCTTGAAAAAGAAAAGTAAAGCTGGAGGCATCACAACCCCAGATTTCAAACTATACTACAAACCTGTAGTGATCAAAACAGCATGGTACTGGCACAAAAACAGACACATAGATCAACAGAACAGAATAGAGAGCCCAGAAATAAACCCACAACTATAGGGTCAGTTAATCTTTGACAAAGCAGGAAAGAATATGCAATGCAAAAAAGACAGTCTCTTCAATATATGGTGTTGGGAAAATTGGACAGCCACATGCAGAAGAATGAAACTGGACCACTATGTTACACCATACACAAAAATAGACTCAAAATGGATTAAAGACCTAACTATGAGACCCAAAAACATAAAATTGCAAGAAGAAAACATAGGCACTAATCTCTTTCACATGAGCTATACAAACATTTTTCTAGATATGTCTCCTCTGGCAAGGGAAACAAAAGCAAAATTAAACTATTGGGACTATAACAAAATAAAAAGCTTCTGCACAGCAAAGGAAACAATCAACAAAACTAAAAGAGAACCCACCAAATGGAAGGAGATATTTGCAAATGGTGTATCTGATCAGGGGTTAATATCCAAAATGTATAAAGAACTAACACAACTTACCACCAAAAAAGCTCGAATAATCCAATTTAAAAATGGGCACTAGACATGAACAGACATTTCTCCAAAGAAGACATACAGATGGACAACAGTTATATGAAAAGATACTCAACATCACTCATCGTCAGGAAAGTGCAAATCAAAGCTATAATGAGATATTACCTCAGACCAGTCAGAATGGCTATAATAAAAAGCACAAGAAACAACAAGTGTTGGCAAGTAGGTAGAAAAAAGCAACCCTAATGCACTGTTGGTAAGAATGCACACTTGTACAACCACTATGGAAAAGAGTATGGAGGTTCCTCAAAAAATTAAGAACAGAATGACCATTTGATCCAGTAATTCCACTACTGGGTATTTACCCAAAGAATACAAAAACACTAATTTGAAAAGATTTATATACACCTATGTTTATTGCAGCATTATTTGTAATAGCCAAGATATGGAAGGAACCCAAATGTCCATCGATAGATGAATGGATGAAGATGATGTGGTACATATACACAATAGAACATTACTCAACCATAAAAAAGAATGATATCTTGCCATCTGCAACAACATGAATGG